AAGTATTTATGTTCGGTCAACATGTAAATCTGGAATTGCAGTATTTTGTACGCAATCATGTGTTTGTAGGATCACCTACAGTTATTTCTTTAATTGTCTGAGAGTGACATTAATTTCATCTACAGCATCTGATTTTGTTTAACACACAATGCCTCAACCCTCACACCAGCTTTGCAGACCAGTGCACGAAAATTGTTGGGGTTTATTCCTTCCATCAAGTAGATGATAAACAACACGGTTGCAAATTGTGTTTCATTGGCTGGGTTAGGATGAACAGCAGCGCTCAGAAGGTACATCATCTGCTTCAGTGGAGATTATTGACGCACAGGATGGTTGCATTTCACAGCAACAATAAAATCTGCACCGTGTTGAGCTGTGACAGCGGTAACAGGGTACGAGACTTGGCTTTGACTATGACAAGGGAAGGGGCGTGCGAGCGGGGAAAAATTGTCACACATTCACACGATCGATTTGAATCCCGGGGAATATTACTGGTCAAATTAATGTCCATTTTATAAAGATAACTGGGTCCCTGTCTCTAACAGATTGCTTTTGACTAACAAAATCACTTGACATAGACCACCATACGCATACGCATGGAACAAGAAATCGGGCATATTTCTCACCTTGGCATGCTGATTTTAGATTTAAAAAAGTTCCCGTCTTCAGACTGTCATCTCGAACAAATGTTACCGTGAAAACAAGAGCACATTTTATCCCTGGGTGTGGGCTGAAGCGTAATTTCCAAAATTTTTCACACAAAGATACACTGTGAGAGTACCTTCCCCGCTAGTCTATAAGACCTAAGGTATCACTGTGAGAGTATCTTCCCCGCTAGTCTGTAAGAACTAAGGCATCACGGCGTAGGCTATCGAACTCTAGGAATATATCGCAAATATACCTGACAAAAAGCCATCTGTTAATCATACATGCCATTCCAAAGTAAGGAGAATTGAGCGTTTCCGAAAGAACCTTCAGTTAAGAAAAATGCACTTTTTGCCAACTTCATCCTTTTGGCTCGCTTGTTTTTTTAAATAACGGAGGATTTGGTCTGATCTTATTTCGTAGCAGCACCCAAACTCCAAACCCAAATCCCTAACCTTAACCCCTAACCCCTAATCCAGACCCCTAACCCCAACTCTAACCCTACAAAATGGGATCCTGCCGAGGATTTTTCAGAAATTCATGAATTGATGAAGTTTTAAGAAAAGGTCACCAAATCAAAGCTGATATATGAATTAAGCCAAATTCATTTTTAAAATGATAATGTCTACTGACACTTGTAAATTTGTCGATTTATCTAAAAATCGAGGTCATGAAATAATGTAACGCTCATTTACGTAGAAATGAGGACGACATCATGCTGGGGTGACACACACATAATTCTCGTCAGAGTTCCCCGCATGACATCCAAATAAAGCTGAGTTCTTTGGATACTTGGCTGGTTTAATTTCTGACGCAACATGCTGATTGTTAAAATTCGCACAGCACTTTAGTGATGATTGGCAAATAAACCAAAAACAGATAATATAGTTCCTCCCTCCATATTAAAGAAAATCATTGAAATCGACTATGATCTATTGCAAACCACAGCCCTTTTTTCTTTAGCCCGAGAAAAATTTCAAAGATCAAATCCCCCAAGATCAAACTTCTAGCTTCAACCCAGAATGTACAAAATAACTTTTTCTTGCTACGAACGAGCTGGACCATCCATTTAGCTCCGACTTCTTTACAAGTTTTGGTAATTACGAACCTTAGCAAAGATTGTGAATTTAACTCTAGTGATTTTATTTTGCATCCTGAAATATTTGGGCAGATAAAATGGTTGACTGCCTGAAAATAAATAGGCGTTACATTTTCCAAAATATACAGGAAAAGTCTCTCATTTCTGTCTTTCCTTCCTGTTTAACTGCCTAAAAGATTTCATGGGTGTGGACCGTTCTCAAACTGCAGTAGAGGAAGTAAGGAAGACAGCTTTCGGATAAGGCAGCCTATGAGTCCTAGTATGAATTACTGATTAACGAGAGTCCGTCGCCAGTGGGAGGTCACTAAAAGAGCCCTCGACGATGACGGCGGCAGCAACGTGATGCAACATTTCTCGGCGATGCAGATGATAGTAGGAGATGGAGGAGGCGGAATTAGAGTTAAACTTGCAGAATCACACAATTACGGAATCGATTTGAACTCAGCGAGTGCTTATTAATTAAATTACTGACTAAGGTGTAGGTTGACTGAACGTTTAACTTTGGCGTGGGACGCCGACTGCAAAACGCATGACTCAGTGAATATCTGAGACGGTTTCCTTCGCTGACTGGGTAAGCTTTCGCTTAGGTTCCGTTAAGGCTGTTTAGGGCGTTGCTAGTCTACACCAAAATCCAACTTTGGTTGTCGGGCATTTTTACCGAGCATCCTACTAATTAGTCTAGAAGTTCAGATATTTTATGTTAATTTGCAATGATATAAGTTTTAAAATCTACCAATTTTCCTATACCGATTTCGAGCAGTACATCGAGTGAGCTTTCTAAATAGCATTTACGGGTGTTCTATCATCAGCCGCTTTAAATTTGCGTCAGTGTTGCTGGTAAGTCAGTGTAAAGTGCCTGAGGCCGTCATTTGAGCTCATCACTGAGTTTACGGTTATGTTAGTTCGAAGGATATGCCAGGCCTCGGCGAGGGATAGAAGAGATATAGGTAAAAGAAAAAACTCATGATTTGTATGTTAGTCTATTTTTGCTTAAATGAAAAGTTGCTTATTTTTAGAAATTTTGATTAGAACTGTTTGACTGAGATGAACAGGCGATATGCGTAAATATGTGGCTCATGTTTCGTAAATAGCTGAAATTGTTATTAAACTGCGAGCTAAATTTTTCTTTATATAGTTTACCTTTCGATTTTTTGCTCATCATGCTTAAACCGTTAGATTGACGGATAAGTTCGTCGGAGAATAAATTAAATGTCCATACACATGTGCAATTACTTTTGGAAGCATTTTACTGGACTTTATGCGTTTAAAAACTTGGAACCATATGTGTCTTAACGAGTTTGGACAAACATGAATTGAAAGCCACTTGTTATGTAAATGCGGAATTGTCAATTAATTCTGAAATTAAAAACCTGTTTAGAAATTCCACTACTTTACTTTTGAAATATGGAATGGAAACGCCGGATTTTGTATTAAAATCACTTTATTCAAAGAAACAGGCAATTTAGATGCTTTTGCTAAACGCACATCCGTTCGATCAGATGATGAAATCGCCTGAAATTATCACCCCGATAATGACACCTTGCATTTACAACCCAACCTGTATGCTTGGTCCATATTCTTTATTAGCATTGAAATGGCAGCCCGCAATACATCACCAGGATAACTGTTGATAATTCAACTGCGAGCAAATGAGTACATTCGACAAAATTTGAATTTCATTTACGACTTTTCCGGTGAATATTGATGAAATTTTTTGAAGAATCCATCTATTGTTACTCTAAGATGTATTGGTAACTTGACAGTGAATAAAACCCAGCAACTGGATGGTCGGACAAGCAGAACAGCCCTATCGTAGCTTTGAAGTCTTACTATCAACCTGGCAGTTGTAGCCCCGTAGACAATTAACCAATTCAGGTTTATTTAGCGCGAAAAACTAGGAACACCAAAATTTTTTTAAAACTTCTATGTGCTTCTTCCGATTGTAAAAGATGATAAGTAAATTAGCATAAAATCTGCTCTACGCCTGCAGTTGACCAGTTGCTATGACACAGTGCGAGGTAATTGTTAATTTTTTATGTGGAGTATGCACACAGGATAGAAAACGAACAGTTGACCAATCACCACCCCACAATACGCACGCACCATTTCTTAGGGGTGGAAATCAGTGAATTTAATTCGATAGTTTGCCACTTGATTGGGCGCCAACTCTTCTATTTCGTCAATATCGTATGTTTTTCCTCAGGTTGCGTACGCCACATTCACGGTTACCAATTATCCTGTGACTAATGCAGCCATCAAAACTATCTTGGAATGGGGCGAAATAAAATAAAGTATGTATTCCCAGGACTTTCTACCATCCTCACGTAGGGCCAACGTCAACGTACCTGCCCTGACTGTATGCTGCTCGGGTCCGCTGTAATCAGAATTCAGAGGTGGGTATCCAAGACGTTAGGTCCTACGGTTATTCTGTGTGCCTTCTACCCCGACTGATGAAACGACCAGATGATAGCTCAACTCTTAACAATCTAAATTCCATGGATCTCAATAACTACCATGACTTACGGCTGAATCATCTGCACAAATGACAAAAGGATTTGGGTCTAGGGGAGCAAAGATACACAGTTAGGTGCTGTCTACGAAACTATATTGAACTGCCGGTTTCCATTATTCGCGTTGTTCTAACTTGAATTTAACCATTGGTTATCATCAAATCAATATGCAAAGGAAAGGAAAATTTATTTGAAAAACTTAACTTGAACCAGCCCCAAGGGATGGTTGATCCGGAAATAATAATCAGAAATAATGGGTTGGCAAATTTGGATACGCTCACTTTCTCGATCAAGTACTATCATGACCTGTCCCTTGTTATAGCATCCTAGTGCCAAGTGAGGGGAGGGCAATTCAACAATTGACATTTTTTATTTTAATTAGTCCAAGGGATTCAATAATCAGCATTTGACTGATTTCACTTCAACGACGCTAGAAGAAAACCTGATAAGTCGTCCGGGCACCCTTCTTCTCCATTATGGAGTTCCAAGGTGGTGAGTTGAAAGAAAAAATAGCTAACCAGAGAAAATTAGTTGAATTACTCACGTTTTGTCAGGCTTAAGCAGCTCATGGCCAACTACCTCGGCAGATAATTTCGACTGTTGCTTGTTTTTAAGTATTTAACGTTTTGACAATAGTGAGAAATTAATATAAACAGGTTCCGGTGGGCTATTTTTCCTTCTCATATTCTCCTCCACCGCATAGTCATTGGACGTCATTCCTGAACTATTATAGTGTGCAAAACGCAATGAATAGCGCTAAAGTTAGCAAGAAAAAGGGAAAGAGCAAAACTCTAAAACAGCCCAAGAACAAAGCTTGTGGAGAACCTCTGTGCAAGGGCGCCAATACCCAGGACGATGGGAAAATAGCAACGGAGTCTCTTGTTTCTATGGAAGACAACCCAAGCGAACCATCAACTTCTCTCAGCCATTCCGCGTGTTCAATAGGACCCTCAGTTGGAAGTGAGGAAACAAGCTCATGGCAAGATGGAAAGGGTAAGCGCCACAACGGGAGTATAGAACCCCAGACGACTCCGGTGGATCTTCTGAGACCTTCAGCTGACAAGGCCGCCGGAAACAGAACAAATGAACCCCTTGATCGTCAGCACTGCGTAGTCGTCCAGGGCCTATTGGAGTCGAATGCTCCTACCCCAAAGGAGAGGATCTCCGCTGGCCTTAATATGCTTCAACACCTACTGAACAAAATGATTAATTCGAATGAAAAGATAACCATTCGCGCAGCCTTCAGGATCGGAAAGAAGGTGAGCGAACAATCGGAAACTGTGCGGCAACGACCTCTGAAAATTGTTTTGAACAGTAAAGAGGAGGCTACCTTACTTCTGTCCAGGAAAATCAGCCTCCGAAACTCTCACAAGGAAGTTTTTTTCAGCCGGACTATCCTCCAGCGGAACGTCTGAAACGCCGCGAACTGATAACGGAATTGAAGAGGAGACTTGCAGCGGGAGAGAGCAACTTGGCCATTTTCAGGGGACGAGTGATATAGAGGAACGCGATGTTGTTTTGGAACCAGCCAGTCATCATGATGGCGGCAGCGACATAATATTGGCAAACCCGAGACTAACCGAACGAAGCACTGTCAAATGTTGCAAAATAAAATTCTTGCACACCAATGCTCAGAGTCTGTTTTCCAAGCTTGACGAATTAAGAATACAGGTAGCCGATACTCTTCCCGATGTTATAGCAATAACAGAAACGTGGCTGTCAGCGGACGTTGGTGATTGCGAGGTAGCATTAATAGGATACCATTTGTTTAGGAGAGACAGGAGAGGCCGCCGGGGTGGAGGAGTTGCCATGTATGTCAAGAGCAACTTAGCAGTGTGTGAGAGGACCGACAAGATTTCTAACGACACAGAGGCAATTTGGCTGACTATAAAGGCGCGGGGGTCTCGGTCCTTCGAAGTCGCAACTATCTACCGGCCACCGCAGGCGGATCTCGACCCAGATACTTGTCTACTGAAAAGCATAAAAGAGATCGCCAGCCGACCAGACGTTGTTCTCATGGAGGATTTTAATGCACCCTGCATTCAATGGAGCGATATGCATGCGAAGTACTCGATGAATACCTTCGATTACCATCAGCTAAAGACAACCCTAGAAGCTCTACTCACGCAACATGTCCTGTTTCCAACTAGAGCTCGTGGAGGGCAACAGGCCAGTTGTCTGGACCTCGTTTTTACCAAAGATCCTGACAGTATAGACGAGGTGTACTACCTAACCCCGCTCGGTCGAAGTGATCATGCAGTGCTTTTATGGGAGTACTTGCTGTATTCTGAACCGTGTACAAAAGACAATACGAGGCCAAATATATGGAAAGGGGACTTTCGCCAAATGAGAGCTGAGGCATCACAAATAGACTGGGATGTTCTCTTCTCCGGAAACGTTAACGAGGACTGGAGTTTATTCAAGGATCGTTTACTGCATCTAATGAAAAACCACTGTCCCTTATCAAAGCCTAGGACATCTAACCGCCCTCAGTGGCTAACACGAGAACTCAAAAGGGAGATCAACAAGAAAGGAAGGTTATGGAAGAAATTTCGCGAGAACAACAACAATGCAGCGTTCACAGAATACAAAGTTCAAAGAAATAAGGTGAAAAGTCTGATTTTCAGGAGGCGACGAGATTTTGAGAGTAATTTGCTCCACCGAGCCGTTAAAAATCCGAAATTGCTCTACAGATATTTGCGGAAAAGCACACGTAACAGGAATCCTATTCCTGTTATGAGGGGTGATGACGGCTTGGAGATATCGGACAGTACAAATAAGGCTGAGTACTTTTCTCAATTTTTCCGATCCGTTTTCACAAGAGAAGCAGACTTTACCCCATCTAATTCTGAGAACATGAGAGATTCCACTATCGAAAATATTGTGTTTCGAGAAGAAGCGATTTTGGAAGAACTGAAAAGCTTGAAGGAATGTAAATCTCCCGGTCCGGACGAGATTCCAGCAAAGCTGCTCTTTGAGCTTGCCCGACAGCTGGCCAAGCCACTATCCTTTCCGTGCCAGAAATCATTTTATGTTGGCATTCTTCCCACAGACTGGAAGACGGCCCACATTACACCCCTTTACAAAAGCGGTAGTCGTGCTCTTGCAACGGACTACAGACCCGTCAGTCTGACATCAATCTGCTGCAAAGTGATGGAGAAAACCATCAAAAAGGAGTTGATGGCTTACTTGGAAACCCACAACCTCTTGTCCAATACACAATATGGTTTCCGTAGGGGAAGATCATGTGTTACGAACTTGCTATACACAATGCAAAGTTGGACATGAGCACTGGACGCAAAACACACCGTGCATGTTGCCTATATTGATTTTCGGAAGGCGTTTGACAGTGTTCCGCACCAGCGTCTCCTAAACAAGCTGAGAATTATGGGCATCGATGGCAAACTTCTCAAATGGATCGAACATTTCCTTGTCGGCCGCTCCCAAATTGTCTGCGTAGAACAACAGCAATCAAGGTGCACATTCATAGAGAGTGGGATCCCACAAGGCTCGGTGCTCGGACCAACCCTCTTTCTCTTGTTCATCAATGATTGTGTAGATGGGTTGGACTGTGATTGTGCCATGTTTGCGGACGACATAAAAATCTGGAAAGTCATCCAGAATGCTGCCGATGAGACCAACTTCTAAGAAAATCTTTGTCGATTGGACGAGTGGTCCCGCAGATGGCTCTTGTCCTTCAATTTGAACAAATGCACCATTCTGCGCCTCGGAAATCAGACCCCTAGTACAGGGCAATACCATCTGAACGGAATGCCACTCCGAGAAGCAGAAACTCAGAAAGATCTCGGAGTCTGGGTTGCAGACAGCCTAAAGCCTTCTACACAATGCTGTAAGGCGGCCAAGGCCGCAACCTGAATGCTATATGCCATCAAGCGGGCATTCGTAGTTTTCGATGAAGACTGCTTCACCAAAGTCTTCGGCACGTTTATAAGGCCCCATCTCGAATATGCAATTCAGGCCTGGAGACCGCGGACGCACCAGGATTACGATCTGCTCGAAAGGGTGCAGAGACGAGCAACAAAATTAATAAGAGGTCAAAGTGCACTGCCATAGGAGATCCGCTTAACTAACCTTAATCTCTATCCTCTGAGTTATAGGCAGTTGCGCGGAGACGTGATACAAACTTTCCGTATCGTGCGCGGCTTGGATTGTGCCCTTCGGCGCGATGACTTTTTCCAACTCGCCACTACAACTCACCTCCGGGGACATCCCTTCAAGCTACGTGTGCCACAGGGTAGACTGAATGTGAGAAAATATTTCCTCTCCAACCGTGTCGTGGAACCGTGGAATAACCTGCCAGAGACGGTTGTTATGTCTCAATCTGTGGAGACATTTAAATGTCGCCTTGACATATATATGCTGCAGCAACAAGCGGACTATGTGACTTTTTAGCCATGTGACCAGTGACATATGTGAATCAATGTATGCATTCACTTAATGCTGTAATTTTTTCACATGTTTGTTTGGTTATCGATTTTTTTTATGTACAAATAGGGAGTTTAAAGGCGTAAGCCTATTTCCCTCAAATACACTGACTGACTGAGAATTATTTCGCATTTTGATACCAGATTCAAAATAGTTACGAATGCCAGTTTAATCGATCGACACCACTCCGCCTAGATGGTAAGTAGCGGATACAGACGTCGGCTTTGGAGTCTCGATATCGAAGAAAAAGGCCTACTAATCGTGGAATTACGTATGAATACTATAAAGTTTGACTGCAACTACTATAAAACCATGCTTAATTTTCATGATGTGGATGTTCGGTAAGATGCATGCTTATTCATACCTATTGCCAGCAGAAGCCAGAATGTTGTCTTCAGTCTCCTGCTGTTAAGCGACAGATGGAAAGCGCTGTTTGCATGATTCATTTGCTGCGCTATCAGCTCTGATAGCAGGTTTAGTTGTCTGAAGCACAGGGTTCTTTTAATTCCTTAAAGAACTGACTTTGGCGACATAGCTTCTACAGCATTACTGTATAATACTCCCAGTCATATCTGAGCATTTATGTTTTCCAAAGACAAAAGTAAAAATTTTTTTAATCGAATTTAAGAATCCCATCAAATATTCAATATATACTTGTCTGTTTTTACGCATACATAAAGTAAATTATGGGATGCCGAGATATCCTAGCATGTTGCGTTGTATTTTTTATCGTAGTTATTTAACTGTTCTGTTTTGATTTCTTTTTTGGTAGTCTTGCAACTTGGACGTTGGACTCTACCTTGCCATTTCAGCTGCCTCGGGGGAATGGTGATTAAGCAATCTGATAGGCTCTGTCTTATGGGATTGGTTATCACCTGGCTTTCCCTATTCCGTCATAAATGTGCGTTGTCCAGCCGCAAACGAAAGCCTTTGGCACCGGCTGAGGACGGCATTTATTAACGATGAAGGAGCTGTTACCAACAGAAGAAAATGCGATCGCTGGACTCTCACTCAGACCCATTATCAGAGACAGTCGGATGATGATGGTTAGAGCGAGAATCAAAAAAGTCAGGCCAATAAAGTTCTTGTTCCAGTGATTGCACCTCCTTTTTCTTAAATGCTTCCTGGGACTCAACTGTGCGCTTCTAACGTAGCTGTTACCTTCACCAATCAGCATTTAATATAGCATATGACCTGTTGCATAGCGCCTGCCTTGCTCGTCATTTCTTTTGCCCACAATTTGGGATTGTCATACTTTTATGGCTTTGTTGCAATGACCGCTGGACGAGTCAGCTGAACATGACAACAAAGCGCTTTTATCATGCCTATCAACATTCTGCAAGTGGATTTGATTTCAGCCTGAATTTTTCCAGTGTTCCTTACTGTTTCACCGCTACCCGAGTAACCCTTTTATTTGAACGCACGCCGAGCGATTTAAGCCGGTTGTTCTTGAAAATTCGACCCAGACTGTCGATCCTTTTCCTACCAAGCTTGAAACCCATAACAAGGTTTCACGCAATGGAGCCGCAAATTATGAGGAAATAGGCAAGAAACTCGCTCTGAAAGTAAGTTTTAATTAAGGTTTTATAGTTTGCACAAGATTACTTCCAGAACAGTTGGGATCACTTTCCAAGAACCTTCTATCAGTCGCCTTCTTGATTTCCAGATGAAGATTCGCAATTACGCAAAAGCTCCCATCTGCCCTTCGTTCAAGAACTCTTAGCACGGAAGGGCGGTCTTATGGCTAACAGGGGTTAAAGACAGACATACAGCAATTCATGCTATTGTCTTTACACCTGTATAACTCATTATAGGACTACAATAATATATCTAATGTATTTCAAGGCCAAGATCGACGGATCCGACTTGTTGTGTATACGTTTCCAATAATTCCACTGGTCAGGCAGGTAACATTGCCGCTAATTAGCGAAACCGATCTTTCTGTCAATACCTACCAACGAAAACCGCA